TCAAGTTGCATCAGGGGAGGTTTAGATTGGATATTAGGAAAAAATTCTTTACTGAAAGAGTGGTCAAGCATTGGACCTGGAACAGGCTGCCCAGGGAAGTGGTGGAGTCACCATCACTGGAGCTGTTCAGAAAACGTGTAGACGTGGCACTTTGGGACATGGTTTGGAGGGCATGGTGGTGGTGGGTTGACGGTTGGACTTGATGATCTTGAAGGTCTTTTTCAACCTTGATGATTCTGTGATTTTATTAATTTGTCTTTATCTCAACCCATGAATTTCCTCACTTTTACTCTTTCAGTTTTCTCCCCCATCCCACCATGGGGGAGTGAGCGAGCGGCTGTGTGGTGCTTAGTTGCTGGCTGGGGCTAAAGCATGACAAAGTCTTTGTTTGTAAGTTAATCTCTCTTCTTGTGTCTGTTTTGTTTTGTTACTCAAAGTGCTTAAAAACTTCTCTAGTGAAGTGTAACACAAATTACTTTTCTCAGTGGGTTGTGTAAAAGGATCTTTTTGACTGTTGTCATGACAAACTAAAATGACAAAAACTACTAATTTAAATAATATAAGTGATAACTATGACGTTTTTAAGACATCTGTGTGTGTTAGTATTACAATTCTGGTGTATAATGCTGATGAATTCCTTGAGTTTCACTGATGCATTATAAAACAAGAATAGAAATGAAAAATTTTCTTAATCTTTTTTTTTTAATTATTTCCCCAAGAAGTTCAATAAAAAGGCAAGTTGTTTTGCAGCACTCTCATTTGCATCTTCTTTAGCCCACTGTGACTTTTACATTCTTGACAGTTTTGAATTCTTGAATCGTGGAGGAGACTGAGTTACCGAGCACGTATCTGGACTGTCACATTTTACTTGAAACACCAATTTGTTGACACCTGGTTAAATTTGACACACTGGAACAGTTATTTCAGCTTTTGTAAAGGAAAGCTTATGCATTGCAGAACTAATTATCATTCTTTAAGGAGTTAACCTGCATCTTGTTTGAGATTGCTGAAGCTGGTAACAGCCGACTTGCATAATAAGGTGTTTCACCAAAGCTTTTACCAAAGGCTTTTTAAGGAAACTGAACAGATTTGGGGTAAGAGTAAGGTTTTACCAGAGCAGATTATTTGTTAGAAGATAAGAAACAAAGTAAAGTGCATGACCAGTGTTCATAGCAACTAAGCACCAAGCAGCCGCTCACTCACTCCCCTCCTCCCCCAGTGGGACAGGGGAGAGAATTGGGAAAAAACCTCATAGGTTGAGATAAAAACAGTTTAATAGGACAGCAAGAGAGCAGGAAACAACAATGATAACAACAATAATAATACCGACAAAGGAATGTACAAGAACAAGTGATGCCCAATACAGCAATTGCTCACCACCTGGTGATCAACAGCCCATCCCCAAGATGCGATTTCCACGCCCCAGCTATCTCCAGTTTATGTACTGGGCATGACGTCATATGGTATGGAATATCTCTTTGGCCAGTCGGGGTCAGCTGTCCTGGTTGTGTCCCCTCCCAGCTTCCTGTGCACCCCCAGCCTTCTTGCTAGCAGGCCAGCACGAGAAGCTGAACTGTCCTTTACTGCTTAGTCACAACTCAAAACCTCAGCACGGTATTGGCTTTTTCACATCCCAAATCCAAAACACAACCTCACGCTAGGTTCTGTGAGGAAAACCAACTCTATCCTGGCTGAAACCAGGACAGTAAGATTCTTATAGTCACTAACTATGAGAAGCCAAACTGCTTGGGAAGGTTGTGTTGAGAGAAGAATGACTAAAAGGTGGACAAACTTTTGGGGGGTTTTTTGTTTGGTTTGGGGTTGTTTTTTTTTTCCTTTTGTAATCTGGAAGGCTCATGGGGCAGCATGAAACTTTGCCATTTTGTGTGTAGATAACTTGAGAAAAATATAGAGGGAAACATATAAGGAATACAGAGGTTCTTAGTTACTACCATCCTTTTTTGATGCTGCAAAAAACAAAACAGATAAGAAATTTGAAGAGTCATGCTTCTACAATTTATTAACTTGTTCCCATACTCAAAAAGTTTGTCACTAGAAGGTTGATTTCTTTTGGTGAGTCCTCAAGTCCATCAAAGATTTTTTTTGTACATGTAATTTCTCATTGATTTTGGTAACAACATGAAGGTGTAGCAAGAACAGCACTTAATTGAATTAATTTGTGGTTATAAAGTGTTTATTTACTTCTGTAACACTTTGCTGGATAGCTAGAATTTGGCATAAACTTATTGGAAGCTTTTTATTTCTGATCCATCCTGAACCTACCTAATAAAGCATGTATTATTCTGGACAGGACTTTTGAGATGTCAGGTTTAATTAATGAAAGAAAGTCTGTTATTGCTTAAAAGTATGATTTCTTTAACTCTAATTAAGAATATTCTTTTTTTAATTACTACAGTGTACAGACTATGATCTGGATTATGGAACTGAATGTTTGCATCTGGCTCTGAAATACTGTAAAACAAATGCTAAACTTATTGAAGGAACAGCAGACCTCTGGAAGGTAAAGGCAATAATAATATCTATTTTTATAGACCTTTAAAAATTAATAAAATTTGCATATTACCATTAAAATTCAGATATGTTTTCAATTGTAATAGTGAGGCTTTTGTGTTCCAAATTTCAGAATGGAAATTCTCTTCCATTTCAGAATGGATTATCATGAGCTTTTTTTAGAGCTCATTGTTGTAGACAAACTTGGGCAGATGTCACTGGAGATAATGACTGAAGACAGCATGTATCTGGAAGTAGGAAAACCAGCTAGGTGCTTGAATAACCTGAGAATCTGTAAAACTATAAATCCATAATCTCTAAAACTAGAACATCCTTTTATGAGATAAGCTTTCTCCTGCTATTTCTATATCTTTTGTCTATTTTTCTCTGTGTTTCATATGAGGATGTCACCTGGCTAACAGTTTGATTTTTAAAGCAGTTCATTACATTCACTAACACTATAATGTTTAAGACCTCTTCAAACAATCTTTTAAAATTTTTTAAACATCATTCACCTTGTCTGATAATCTGTAGGTTCCTGATGAGTGACAAAGCAGGTGTGTATACAGGTGCCAAAGGATGTGTTCCTGCTGCTTAAAAGTATCCCATTTCATTGTTTTGGGTGGTGGGACACTGTTCGTTCTCAGTAGCTGTCATGGCATGTAATTTTTAAGTGTTTCTTTATTTTATTCATTACCACTGAAGGATCTGGGAGCAGCTCAAATCACCTGTCTTTGACAATAAATTTCCTCCTGTGGGACATGATTTCTAATAATATGACAGTAAATCTTATACACAAAGGTAATTTCCTGAATCTGCAGTGCAAATTTCCTGTGCAATTTTCCTAAGCAAAATTTACTTACGCATTGGTTGCGTACAGCAACTTCTTTCAATATGTTTCTGGGGACACAGTCTTTCTGAAATAGTGTATTGTGTGTTTTCCTATTCAGTCTAAGGGGCAGATTATGTCATGTATATTTGCATTACATCAGTTTTTAGACTGTTTCATTGTTCTCACTGCAAAGCATGCTATTTACATGAAGGACAACAAAATACACTGAAAATATGCATTTAGTTCTTTGTAATGTTTTAGTGCTTTACTATCTGTAGATACTACTGATGCCTGGCAGATCAAATGTAGTCTTTTTGAGCTAGAGTGACAGAATAATTAAGGCTGAAAGAAATAATTAGATGCCATCTGGTCCAACACCTTGCTGAAAGTGGGTCCAGGTTAGTTAGATCAGACTGTGCAGGGTCTTGTCCAGCTGAGTTTTGAATATCCCCAAGAATGGAGGTTTCACAGATCCTCTGGGGAAAACCATCCCAATGCATATCCCCCAGTGTGGAGGAGACTTTTTCCATAATATTTGGTCAGCACTTCTCTTGTTGACTCTTGCACTGGGAAAGGATGAAAGGCCAACAAGAAAGATCTGCAAGAGAAGTCCAGTTTACTCTTTTCTATTGCCATTAATTATGACCCTTATCCACCCTTCATCTTCTGTTCTTCAGGCTGAACGAGCCAAGTTCTCTCACACTGTCTTAGCAGCTCTCTGCTGGGCTTCTCCCTGTTCCTCACTGTGTTGTACTGGGGCGCCCAAAACTAGAAACAATACTTCGGCATGTTCTCAAAAGTGCCAAATACAAGGGAATAATCCCTTTATTCCCTGCAATGAAACCTGCTTCCTTATGAATACAGCCCAGTGAACTGGACTCCTTTTCTATACCGCTACACACTGCTGACTCATGTTCAGCTTGTCCAGAACATCCTTTTTTGCAAAGCTGTTTTCTGTATTTTGGTATCAGTATGGACTGCTGCACAGGGTTATTCTGTCCCAGATGTAGGATGCTGTATTTGTTTTATTTCACAATGTTTCTGTCAAACCCTTTCTCCAGCCTTTCAGGATCCCTCTAAATGAGTGTGTACCCTTGACTATATTGAATACTTCCCCATTTGTTGTCATCTACTTGTTTGCTGAGGCTATTTCCCCTTTCCCAGGTTATTAATGTTAGAGATTAAAGATATTAGACAGTATTGTCCCCAGTATGAGCCCTTGAGGAACAGCACTAGTAAGCAGCCCCCAGTTGCACTTCAGACTTGAGCTTGTGCACATCTCTGTTTTAAAAGAGAATTGTTGAAGTGTTAGTGCCACTTCAACATTGTTGGTGAAACGATGTCCTGATGCTTGTTAACTTTCTAGCATGTGGAACCCATTGCAGTAGCACTGGACTTTGAAGAGGCCTGTAAACACATGGAAAATGACAACACATGTAGGTTGAATTCCTTGTAGGTGCTCAGATACTGGACAGAGAACTTCGTTATCTGGTGGCATACTGGGGAATATCATGGAGAAGGACATTCAGGTAGAAAAGCTGAAAAGACTGTGGACCAGGTAAAGGAGTCTCCGTGTTGACAGTATTGTGTAGTGCATGACAGTAGCAACAGCACCCATTTATGTGCAGGTACTGTGCTGCAGGCAGTGCAGAGCAGTGAATATGCTATATACAATATACACAAAGATGCTGGTGCCATGTCATCAAAGTACCTACACTTTCTCACATCCTCTTCCTTATCTTATCAGCAAAACTGCTACCATGGACTCTGAGGGCAGACTTTGGCCTGTTCAGGTCACTGGTTGAGAGAGTCCCTTGGGAGACAGTCCGGAAGGACAAAGGGGTCCAGGAAGGCTGGACAGCCTTCAAGAAGGAAATCTTAAAGGCGCAGGAGCAGGCGGTTCCCATGTGCCATAAGAAGATCTGGCGGGGAAGGCGACCGGCCTGGCTGAACAGGGAGATTTTGCTGGGACTCAGGGAAAAGAGAAGAGTTTATCAATATCTGGAAGAAGGGGCAGGCAACTCACAAAGA